TATTAACAGCCCTCTATTTGTTTTTTCTTTTTTAAAAAAAAGGAAGAACCATAATATGACCCGATTTAATACATATATGCGATTATGCTGACAAGCTTTTCGGCCTTGGTGTAGTGGTGGTTGGTGTCATCCCTTTGGCTGTGTTAAGGTGCAGCGAATGTCACGAATTGGCGTTCTAGCCAATCAGAAACCTAATATTCAAGGGTACATCTCTACACCAGGAAATAGTATAATAATAGAAGTCACTATGATTTTCTTAGATACAAAGAGCTACATCATATAGTCTATCTAAATAGCTGTAAATGAAGGTACTGGCTAAGTATCGCAGAAAAGTGGAGACCGCTACATCCGCTGCACCTTAACACAGCCAAAGGGATGGGATGGCAGGCGGCACGCACCACCGAGAGCGTTTGTCCGAGGGTCCGGCGGTGCTGGTGGTGGGATGGGTGAGAAGGGCGGCTGACTCAGCTGGGTGCTCGGTTACTACGGGAGTGGCCAGAGCCTCCCCCGCCTTTGGGGCTCCAAGCCTCGGCTACCGCGAGGGATGAAGCAAGAACCAAGTCCGTTTAGTGTCTGGTGTCAGGAGTTGGACCTTGAATCGCAGAGCGGGAGAACGCCCCAGGCTTAAGGTGGAGTGTAGGCGTTCTTGTCGCCGCACAATTGACCTCGGCACTTGCCCTTCCCACTGACTGCTGTTGCAGGCGAATGAATGACCACGGAGTCTCAGTTTGGCCCGCAGCTTCTGCTGGAGGCCAAGTTAGGCAATCATAGCGGACGCTCCTACCCAGGTTGATCCAGCTGTCGGCTCCCCGCATTCAATGCCCGAATTCCGCGCCAGGGGGGGCCTCCAGAGTCCAGACATGCCTCTTCCACATGCAAAGCCGTGACATCCATCACCCGCCGCATTTCTGATAAATAGAAACCTCATCCCTCGGTGGCATCACTGTAGTTTGCTATGCAATAATTTACTTTTTTCTGGCTTCAGCTTCAGCACCGTTGCATTTTACTCTTCCTTCTTTAATCCGTCATAACGTCGATCGTCGTCCAAGGGACCTCTCCCTGACTTGCCATCGTCGCCGACACTCCGAGAACTCGCCTTTTTTGGACAAATACACATAACCACAACACAGATACCACAACCACTCATCAAAATGCCTGCCAAGCAAAAGTCGCCCGTCTACGTCCTGGGCGTGGGCATGACCAAGTTCATCAAGCCCCGAGGCCTGGTGGACTACACTGAGCTTGGATTTGAAGCTGGTATAAAGGCTCTCCTCGACGCTCAGATTAACTACGACGATGTCGACCAAGGCGTCGCCTGCTACTGCTACGGCGACAGCACCTGTGGCCAGCGTGTCTTTTACCAATTTGGCATGACCAAGATTCCCGTCTACAACGTCAACAACAACTGCTCCACTGGCAGCACTGGTCTGGCCATGGCCCGTACCTTCATCGCGAGCGGTGCTGCCAACTGCGTCATGGTTGTGGGCTTCGAGAAGATGATGGCTGGTAGCTTGCAGAGCTTCTGGAACGACCGCGAGAACCCCATCGGCACCACTGTCAACATGATGGTTGAAACCCGGGGATTCGAACCCGCCCCCGGCGCGGCTCAGATGTTCGGCAACGCTGGTCGCGAATACATAGAGAAGTATGGTGCCAAGCCCGAGGACTTTGCTGAGATTGCTCGTGTCAACCACGCCCACTCCCCCAAGAATCCCTACTCGCAGTTCCAGCAGGTCTATACCCTCGACCAGATTATGCAGGCACCCAAGATCTTCGACCCTCTCACTAAGCTTCAGTGCTGCCCTACCTCCGATGGAGGCGCTGCTGCCATCCTCGTCTCCCAGGAGTTCCTTGATGCCCGCCCTCACCTCAAGGCTCAGGCCGTCGAGGTTGCTGGGCAGTGCCTGGCCACTGATGCTCCCAGCCTGTTTTCCCGCAGCTCCATTGACCTGATGGGCTATGAGATGACCCAGCACGCTGTAAAGACAGCCATGGGCGAGGCCGGCATTACCCCCAAAGATGTGCAGGTTGTCGAGCTGCACGACTGCTTCAGCGCCAACGAGATGGTTGTCATTGATGCCCTCGGTCTTAGTGAGAAGGGCAAGGCCCACGAGCTCGTCCGCCGCGGCGACATCACCTACGGCGGCAAGTACGTCATCAACCCCTCTGGCGGTCTCATCTCCAAGGGCCATCCTCTGGGCGCCACGGGTATTGCGCAGTGTGCCGAGCTTGTCTGGCATCTGCGTGGATGGGCCAACAACCGCGCAGCTCCCAACACCACGTACTGCCTGCAGCACAACCTGGGCCTCGGTGGTGCCGTTGTCGTGACCGTCTATCGCCGTGCGGATGGCAAGGCTGCTCCCGAGTTGGACAATGCAGCCGTCGGCAAGTCCAACGGCCTCGGCTACAACCCGGCAGTCGAAGCCAAGGGCTTCACCAAGGACCAGGCTGCTGCTGTTCGTAGCAAGACTGCTTCTAGCGACTGGGCCCTGTCGGACACTCAGGAGAAGGTTCTCCAGGCTCAGCTGTAAAGGGGAGAAAAAAAACTAGCATATGTTGGAAATGGATGATACTTGAGAATCAAAATGGGAGATATGGGATATGCATGTGGAACTTCATTTGCTTTATGAATTGTACCAATAGCAATTTTTTCATCACTGATGAGTTGAGTATAATGATGGCTTGATTTCTGGCGTGATGGACGGGAAGTCAACAGCCAAAGTTTATGCCGTTGTTTGAGAATATAGCGTTGAACTTTGGTATCATAATCTACGTCTTGACTAAATTGCCCTGGTGAAGAGTGCTGAGTGATGCGGAACTTGCGCGTGTTGCCTTTTGGGCACCCTTAGGTAATACTCATTCTGGTGTACCGAGTAGTACATACCTACCTAGGTACCTAAGTACCTAAGCAGTAGTGACGATGGTCAGAGACAGACGACAAAAAGTGGGTGTGGCGTCCGGTATTTTTTATCCTTGCCGCCGGTGGAAACTCTAATCCCGCAGCTTAGATACCAGCTTTCCATGCGGCATCTGCATCCTTTTCCCTCTTCATCATCCCTCATCACGATTCTACAAGTAACGAGAATTTCATTCTTCACCTACTAGCATTGCCACAGTCGCATTGATTGCGGGGGGCGCGGGCAATTGTCATTTGGCCGAGCTTTCGCGGTACGCGTCACGAGGGGCACTTCTTCGCTTAACGCGTCTCTCGTCTCGCTCATCTCATGGCGGCCACGACCTTCCACCGGTTCGCGCGCCTTCCCGCCGAGCTTCGGCGCCAGATATACGTCGAGTACTTGAGTCCTCTGGACGCGCCCGCCGTGTATCTGTACAACAAGAACCTTGTCCTGCGCTACCTCGACCCCGATGGCGAGGATGAGCGGTACGCGGGGATATCTCACGAGCCACGCGTGCAGGTCAAGATGCCGGCGCTGGTCCACGTTAACGTGGAGGCTCGCGCGGTGACCATGTCGTGGGCGCGCACGCACAACATCTCTCTTGGTTTCCGCAAGGAAACAAAGGGCCACGTGTTTTCCCGGCCTTGGGATCCGACGCGTGACACGCTCTACGTTTCCAGGGAAAAGTGGGAGGAGTTTTGCGAGCTACCGTGGGAGTCGAAGGGCGTTGAGGAGATGTCGGCCAAGGTGCGACACCTGGCCCTTCCTGCGTTCACGGCCTACTACAGCTTCAACGAGCTGGGGAATTACGTGATGCAGTGGTTTCCGAGCCTCGAGGTGCTGAGCTCGGTATGGGGGCCCTTGCCGGAGCTCAAGTACTCGCGGACCAAGAGGGTTTCGAGGAGGCAGCTGCTGGCGGCGGGGGTGACGGACGACGATGGCACGGATACGGGCGTTGATCCTCTGACGGGGGATAGGGAGGAGCGGATTGCGGCCGAGATCCAGCCTATGTGGGAGCTGGTGAGGGAGACGAAGGACGTGGTGAGGATGTGTGTGCTGGATCCTTTGGACGAGACGGAGAGCTGGGAGGAGGGCGAACTGCAGATGTGGATGGAGGAGCTGGCGGACGCCTTGTTGACGACTGAGCTGCCAGAAAATGTGTATGATGTGGAGGGGCAGAAGTATTCGATTGAGTTTCGTCCGGTGAGGGCTGTGAAAGGGTAGTTTGGACTGGGATGCAAGACGGGCGGCATGGCCGTTTTTTTGATTCATGTATTGTACTTGGTGGTTATACGTATGTGGGCATGCAAAGGCTGGGCCAAAGCGAGTGGTGGCCTGGTTGGTTGTTGGGACTTTGGCGCAGGGTGGTTTTGTGTGTACCGACCGACGTGAGCAAGTTTGAGCTCATATCCAAGACAGCAGCAGCAGCAGCAGCAGCGTCACAGGGGGGATGCTGCCCATGGGCAGAAACAGACGGATGGATATTCATTTACCTGTTTCAGGCCTCGGGCGCCATCGGGAGCAATGACCTTGAAGGCGATATGTTATGCGCGGCGGGCGTCAGCATGAGGGGCCTGCGATGGTGCTCGGCCCGTTCCGGTCGATCTGGGTGCATGATGCAGGATGGCATTCGCATGGACGGGACAATGGTTGTCAAGGTGAAACGAAGCTGTTTTGAGAAGCATCCCAGACCGGGTGTTGAGACGGAAATATATCCGACGGTGTCACGGAGCAAGTGAGCACGTTTCAAGAAGGTGCACATGTGTGTGATATGTATGATACATATTAGCGTGAGGTTGCGTGCTGCCTTCTGTCTCGTTCCATCTGGTGCCCGCGGTGCCTTGCTGTGGCTGCACGTGGCTGCGTCCTTTTCGCGGGGCCCATACTTTGGCCTCGTCCAGAAGCGTCTGGTCCATTATTATTAATGCCATGCTCCCGCCGCCGTTCGCTCCATGACATGTCCTTCTCTGCATGTATTAAAAAGGCCCGTGATCCTGCCCTTCTCTGGACGACAACCGGCCGACGAAATTTCCCCTTTCCCGCAAACTTGCACGCCCTCTGTCATACGTACCCTTCTTGTCCCCGCATCTCCCACCGGCCATCATGTCCGACCTACACACCTACGAGTTCAACGTCGCCATGAGCTGCGGCGGCTGCTCCGGAGCTATTGACCGTGTTCTGAAGAAGCTGGATGGTAAGTACACCCTCTTGATGCGGCCACGCATGATTGCCTTGTACTGACGGCGGGACGCAGGTGTCGAAAGCTACGAAGTCTCCCTCGAGAATCAGACTGCCAAGGTCGTCACTGGCCTGCCCTACGAAACCGTCCTGACCAAGATTGCAAAGACGGGCAAGACGGTCAAGTCGGCCACGGCTGACGGCGTTGAGCAGTCGGTTGACATCCCTGCTGCTGCTGCCTAGGTGTCTCCCGCTGGTTGCTAGGTCTTTTGCCGTTGAGGCGGAGGGACCTTGATGAAAATCGAGGGGGCGAGAGTAACTTGTTATTATCGCGGGCTGATTTGGGCGCAAAAAGGACAGGAGGATTACTGCATTTTTTTATGAGCGAATCGTTCAGAGAAGTGGGTGGATTTGATAAGGCCATTTCTCATCAAACGTGATGCTAGCCGCGTCTGGCGCTGTGAAGATATATGCATCCTTGAATTGAGCACACCGTTACTACCAGTGAGGAGTCGATATCTCATTTCGTATAGCTAACAACCTGGTTACTCTGCAGAGCTGGTGTTGCTGGCAAGGGTAGTCGGGCCTGGGGCATGCGGAGCAGCGAGCTTGTGATATATCGACGGAGCAAATCTTAGCTTGTGGCAATGCAGCCCATTCATCTTCTTTTTGACGAGCTAGCCATTTCCCCCCTCCGTCGACCTGTGAATCGCATATATGGATCTAGATCTGTGTCCCTAGTCACCAAAACCACAGCTCAACGAAAGCCATGCAAACACACCCACCGTAGACACAGATACACATACGCCACGGGGACGTGCTTAGAGAGCTCTGTTATTGATTCGTATTTCCCCGTAATCCCGCGCCTGCTCCCCAGATTCACCCCAGCGCGTACGACGGTATCAGGGTTCCAACATCCCTTCGAGCGAAAGTCGGCGGAAGGGAACAAGCTCCGACAAATCAAGAATGTCCCGGCCAGGGAACGCCACTGCCCTTTTCGCTCTTGGGAACGGCGAAACGGATGTAAAGAAAATCCATGCAACAATTCATAGTACACATGTATTGTGTTGAGGGGGGATCCACGTAATGCATTGCGGGGTTTTACTTTTGCACTCGGGCTGCTCCCCAGCGATGGCTCCCGGTCCTTAGTTGACATTGCATGATGCCGTGGGAATATCAGGTGTTTTGACAAAGTGGAGTGATTCCTCGGGCCTTGTTCCTTCTCCGAGCTGGAGAGCTTCAAGAGGGCAAGAGCTTGCTTGGCTTGCGGATGGGAGAGAGCCTGGCCACCACGGAATTCGTGGCAATCCCCAAAAAGATCAAAAATAAACAAATAAATAAAACATGATTGAGATTCCTCTGCTCGGAAGGCAACCGCATGTAAATTGATTGATCGATTTGGCCTCGTGGACGGTGAACTTGCAACACCCCGGCATGAATCGTGCCAATGCGCGCAAACCGCCATGCCTGACTCCTCCCCGCATCCCGATCCTGCCAAGCCGCCGCTGCGGAACTCAAATTGACAGACCAACAACGCACGTCAGAACATGGACTTCCAATAAAGGCGAATAACCTGGCATTTATCCGTCGACAGCCTCCAATGCTACTTTGAACCTTTACTCGCAAACCAATCAACGCGGCGCTTTCCTCGCAAAACGCACTAATGCATCGGTCCTCGATTACCCCCTCTGCCCCGTACCATTCATTCCATCTCGTCCCTCACATCTAGACGTCCCTGTACTATGTACAACCCCCCGCTCATGGTACTCTCGTAGATCGTTTCAACACGGCGTGGAATAGTGATACGCGCGCGTACGACGGGCTGCGGGAATGAGTCCGTAGCTCCGCATCCCTCCCCTTATCCCGTCGGTGTTGTGCAATCCTCCAAAGCAACCATCTGCGGGCCCAACGCAGGCGATTACACGGGAAGAACACGGCAACTCTTCTTCCCTGGTCCTCTTTTTTCCTTGCCCCCGTCATTCTCCTCTTTTCTCCTACTCGGGCCACTGGAGATTTTCGATTAATTGCTGTCCGTCTTTTTGCACGCTGCCCCGAGGCTCCGCTATTCTGGTGTCGTGGGCGGCGGGGATGGGGTGCCACAGTCGAATGTTGTATCATGGGGTGGTTGAGAGAGGTAGCGTTTTGAATATAAATGGCTGCTTGGGTCGCTAGCTTTCCTTCTCCTCCTCCTTCTTCTTGGACTTCAATTCGCTGATTACGCTTTCCTCTCGTGCGACGCTACTTGTGCTGGCTGTAAACCAGTTCTTATTGGTATACATTTGCGTTCATTGCCGCGTCTTTTCCTCCCCGGACACACGACACACGACTTGCCACGAAACAGCCGACAAATGACCGTCACCAAGATCCCCACGGAGCAATGGGCGGCGGTGGTGGAAAAGACTGGAGGACGTATGAAGTTTTCTCTTAATCCCCGGAGCCAAAATCAAAAGCATACCTTGCTGACATGGTTTTACAGCCGTCGCATACAAGAAAATCCCCGTTAGAGAGCCCGGCCCAGATGAAGTCCTTATCAACGTCAAGTACTCGGGCGTCTGCCACACCGATCTCCACGCCATGATGGGTGACTGGCCCATAGCTCCCAAATTACCCCTCGTGGGAGGCCATGAGGGTGCCGGTGTCGTGGTTGCGCGAGGCGAGCTCGTCGAGGACGTCGAGATTGGTGACCACGCTGGCATAAAATGGCTGAACGGGTCGTGTCTGAACTGCTCCTACTGCAACGTCGCTGACGAGCCGCTCTGTGGCAAGGCTTTGCTGTCTGGGTATACCGTCGACGGCTCATTCCAGCAGTTTGCTATTGCCAAGGCCGCCCATGTTGCTCGGATTCCCAAGGAGTGCGATCTCGAAGCCATTTCTCCCATCCTGTGCGCTGGCATCACCGTGTACAAGGGCCTCAAGGAGTCTGGTGCCCAGCCGGGGCAGTCTGTCGCCATTGTCGGTGCTGGCGGTGGTCTGGGGAGTTTGGCCTGCCAGTATGCCAAGGCCATGGGCCTCAACATCATTGCTATTGATGCCGGCGATGAGAAGAGAGACATGTGCTTGAAGCTTGGCGCTGATGTGTTTGTTGACTTCATGACCTCCACGGACCTTGTTGCAGAGGTCAAGGCGGCGAGTGCTGATGGCTTGGGTCCCCATGCTGTTCTCCTTGTCGCTGTCACCGAAAAGCCCTTCCAGCAGGCTACTCAATACGTACGATCCCGAGGCGTCGTCGTCTGCGTTGGGTTGCCGGCCAATGCTAAGCTCTCTGCGCCCGTTTTTGATACTGTCATTCGCATGATTAATATCAAGGGCAGTTATGTAGGCAACCGTGCCGACACGGCCGAGGCCATTGAATTCTACCGCCGAGGCCTCATTAATGCTCCATTCAAGACTGTGGGTCTAAGTCAATTGCAAGACGTTTACGAATTGATGAAGGAGGGTAAGATTGCTGGACGATATGTTGTTGACACAAGCAAGTAGCCTAGTCAGCCAGGGGAGCAATGGGGATGACGTTGATTGAATTTTTTTTCGACTGGTTTTTGATTTTTTCATAATCTGTTAGTTCTCTTCAAGCAATACTCGGAGCTGATATGAGCGTATGGGAGGTCGTTGGGTAGAAGCGTGGCGTGGGGAGTTGACAATTTGGGATTCGTGTCCCATAGAAGCGGCGAAGGTTGAACGAGCTGTTGTAAATATTGATACTTGGGGCACTTCAACTCTAAGACCTATTAGCATAAAACTTTTCATATGATGAATGTCCTTTAGGATGTTGCCAAGACTGTAATCCGGAGCCAGACCACCTGAACAATAATAATGGGCCAGCCAAAAGTGTGAACCCATGTCCATAAATGATATTTGTATTTTCAAGTCAACCTACCACTTTGCTTGTCGATGCCCTATTTTGACATTGGTTGCGCCCTCTGCCCTGCTTCCAACACCGTCGCCTGTCCGTGTCGTCTGCGCTTTTCTCCTTGGGAACCAGGTAAATCATTTTGAATTGCTCTATCAAACATGACATAAACAAAAATTTTATGAGCCCCCAGGTCCTCCCAACAAGGCAAATCTCCGCACGATGCTTGGGCCATACTCTTGATACTACACAGTCAGGTTAGCTCAGCATGTTCGTCGGTAGGTTTGTCACAGCTGCAGGCTTGACGTACCTCTGCCTTGGTGTGGCAGTAAGATCGGAATTCCGGGGTTTGTCCAAGCAGACTGCCACCGAACCATGGGCCATGTCGTTGTCTCTTGTGAGTAATAACCTGAACGTCGAGTCCACCGCTACGAGCTCCTCCGCTGCGAACCTCGCTGGCTCGAATCCTAGCATCGACGAGATGCTTGATGTCTCTCTGCAGCCGCCTGCCAAAGTCCTTGTAGAGGGTGCTTCCACCTGACAGCACAATATTCTTGTATAGGCCTCGTCGTACGTCGATGGGCGACTGCTGAATGACTCCGTCAACAACAACAGGCAACGGTGTAAGGAAGTCGGAGCTGTAAATTTCCGGGTTGAAGAAAATTTCGGGGGCAAGGAACCGCTCGTAACCGACATCAACGCTAACCTGACGGCCACCAGGGTGGGCGACAACGTGCTTCGCAAATCGTTCCCGATCGCGGTCGTACTTTGAGAATTCCTTGACAATATCGGGGCACACGTAGCAATATTCCTCCTTAATATCCTGGGCGGTCTTGAGGGAGGAATCGGGCTCGCCGCGGTCTCGGAGTAGCGACTGTACGAAATAGGTGATGTCTCGACCAGCAATGGGGATCGATTTGATGGACGATCCAATCACATAACCTTCGGCAACTGGAATTACGTGAGTGACACCATCGCCGGAATCGATGACAGTACCCGTCAAAGATCGGTCCGTAACCTTGGAGGAAGTCCAAGAAGCAGCAAGGGCAAGCACAGCTTGCACTGCAATGTACATGCCCGCACAGTTGAAGGACTCGAAGAATATCTCGGCGGTGTTCTCTCGATTTTCGGGAGGATTCAGCGGCTATTGCTGTCAGAAATGTTTTGGAAATTTCCAGGATACAGAGAATGCGGCGAGGGGCTCACTGGCTCGGTCAGAAGAAAGTAATGGTCCTCGGGTTCTACTCGCAGGTACTTGAAGATTGAGTTTGACCAGAATCGTTCCATGTGATCCTAGGACATCGGTCAGTTGGGAGACGTTAATGGCAAGTAACTTCACAAACCCAGTTTTCTATTTGTCCGTGCCGAATAGGATAATGAAGACCATATCCTAGAGTGATTAGTTAGCAGACAATCCCTCCTCAGCGCAAGGCCATCCAGAACACATACCAGGCCCTGAAGCGGCGCTTATCGCTTCATCACCAATGTAGAAGTCAAGGTCCTCGGTTCCTCGCTTTGAGCTCAAGTTACTACTCGGGCCTGCGCCACCTGTAAGGAACGAAGGCTTGTTCGCGACAGCTGGACGACCAGACCCGGAACCACCGCTGCCTCCGGTAGGGCCTTTTGTGGCGATGGCGGTCGGGAAAACGAAGGACGGGGAATCGTTTCCGGCGAAACCTGAAGATCTCACGTCAATTGAGGGTGCGGCTAAAGATCGATTGGGAGCATACCGAGCTTGGAAAATCCCGTGCCGCTACATTGCGTCAGATTAGTATGCTGTCGTGCGGGTGTTTCTCGTTGAGGAGCGGGGGGAAGCGAGCGTGGATGAACTTACTTGTCCATGACAACGGCGGGGGTTTGGTTCGCCATGATGAACGAGTGCGGATGCGGATGCGCACGAAGCAGGACGGAGAGTACAGGGAGGAGAAAGGACGAAGATGAGGCGAGGAGAGAAGACGGTGATGCCAAAGGGCCGTTGCCTTGTCGTCACCTCACCAGTCAGCTCCCAGAGGTCCAAAGGTGGGGTGGATGGTGGATGCTTCAAGGTGGTGCTGCTGCTGCTTTGTACATAGGTTGCGCCAATGGCCCAAGATTGGAAGCCCAGCCACAGCATGGTCGTACCTGCCCAAGTCGCTCTCGCTGGCCCAGGCCCCAGGAGTAACTCTCTGCACCCAAAGGCCAATACGCGCGGCTTCAGCACCGCCACAAGGGAGAGTGGGGTCATGATAGGGCTCCTCCAGCAACAACGCAGCAGCTTCGACAAGCACTGGAGCTGCTGCCACGCTGCCAGGAGACGTCATCTGAAGCGTGGGCGTAGGCACCAAAATATGTTCAACCATACTCCGTGGACAGCATATGAGACCAATTCCATTGGAGCCAATAGGCGCAAGGTAATTCTCGGTGCTCTCGTCGGTGAACTTATATACCGAGGAGGCTTAAGTGCGTAAATTTGCAAAATTGACTGGATTCAAGCGTGGCCTGTCTTCGCTTCACATGCCCACCACGCTCTCTCCAGCTGCCCATGCCCAGCCCTTGACAGCTTCACCGTAACAAACCATAAAACCATGACTAGAGTGACACCTACAAACACCCGAGGACCCAAACCCGCAACACAGGTGCAATCGCACACGAGACTGTGTCCAGCCGTCGTCATCTTCAACCATTCACTTGTCGCTGTCTTTACGGCCCGGTGAGCCGTGAGTCAATGTCAGGCAGGAGCTCGTCGATCAAGCGTCACCGAGCCAAGGGGCCTTGGCAACATTGAACTGGCCAACCTGACCAACCCGACATACCTGACCTGAGCATCTGGAGTTCTGAGCTTCTGGTAAAAACTTTGAACTTTTCCTTGACCTCTAGTGGCGCTCATGGCAACACCCATCACGGCAGGCGAGCATTCATACGCACATTTACATCGTTTGTTCTGCTTTGGAAGTTGCAACCTATGCTCGGAGACTCGCCGTCGCAGACACGTTCATTCCATCTAGAAACAGTGACATCGGCTCGTTGCGTTGTAAATCCTCCCCGTCTCTTCCTAAGGCTGCCGTTATCGGCTCCAAGCAACTACAGAAATTGTATCCCGCCATTACTTGGATGCCATTTACTCCGAGCTGGCTCATTCCGACCCAATCCCCTTTCCCTTTAATACCACACCAGCACACGCAAAATATCTTCATTGGCATCCTTAGCACGCTTGGTATCGACACGGGCAATCCGAGTTACTAATGACTCTCAACTAGAATGAACGCCCATTGCCAACATGTGGACTCCCCAGTGATGGCTCAAAATAACCATGGCACCGATGGCGCGTTGGACCGTATGCTTCGTCTCAGTCAACGACAGAAAGCCGTTCCAGCCATCTTCATACATGCCGGCGCCGGTTTCCACAGCCATCAAAACGAACATGTCCATCTGGAAGCTTGTGTAGCGTATGTTTCCTATCCCATGATTTTCTCGTTTCTTGATGCAAAGTTCTCTCATCTGACCAACGTCCTCCAGGGCCTCCGAAATGGGTATGAAGTTCTTGAAAGCTGGTGCGACTGCAACCGAGGCTGTCGAAGCTGCTCTGCGAATCCTCGAGGATAAGGAAATCACCAATGCCGGCTATGGCTCGAACCTATCCATTGACGGTACAGTCGAGTGTGATGCTACAATTGTTGACCACCTCGGCCGAAGTGGTGCTTGCGGTGCAGTTCCAAGTTAGCTATCCCTTTGAAATGATGCCCCATAGCTCCGAGCTTCGCTGACACTCCCTTCCAGACATACGCAACCCCATTTCCCTTGCGAAACTCATTCTAGATACCAGTAGCCAGCCGCTTAGCCTTCGACGAGTCCCGCCAAACGCACTTGTCGGTGAAGGGGCTCGCATTTTCGCCGAGGAGCATGGCGTGGTTACCTTTGCGAATGAGTACCTTGTCTCAAAAAACTCCCGCGACCGGTTCTTTCGTTGGCAAGAGGATCTGTTACGGGCAGAAGAAAGGGTCCAAGATTCTCGGACGGGTTTACAGTCTCCATCTGTCACCATGGCATGTGTTCCTTGTCAATACGACACGGCCCCATCCGCAGATACACGTAAACCATTTCCTCGCGAACATACGGCGGCAATACTGGCTGGCACGTGGAATGAGGGACAGCCTGACTCACCATACGCGGGCACTCCAGCTCCTGACTCTGCCAGCATGCAGGAGGGTTCTTTCTTCTCACCACGGTCCAACGTATCGCCGTCTGCCCCAACTTCGAAATCACCTCGGCCATCACCAAGATCTCCCATTTCTTCAGCCTCTTTGGCTGAGAGTAAAATCATCGGGGTCTCCCCAACACGAGCCAGATATATTGACAGGCGGCCAGACGTGGTCGTAGACAGCCCAAGTCCAACAGGCACTATTCGCCGGAATGGCCCGGAAATTTCGCGATCAAACAACAGTTTCACCCTGGAAGCCTCGTCTCCATGTATACAGTCAAATCAATGCGATAACACGCCATCAATTCCGAGCGGCCTGCAAGGTGTAAAGCGACCTTTTCATGAAGAAAACCAACCTCGAGAGACTGACGGACCAGTAGCTAAGCGCCAAGTGCGGTTGAACAGCCGAGACGAGGACATGATCACGGACACTATCGGTGCTATTGCGATTGATGATCAAGGAAGAATAGCGGCGGGATCTTCTTCTGGGGGCATTGGAATGAAGCACCGGGGACGCCTGGGGCCTGCTGCCCTTGTTGGTATTGGCACAGCTGTAGTACCATGTGCGGAAGACGATGAAGAAGGAATTACTGTAGCTGCTGTAACAAGCGGAACCGGGGAGCATATGGCAACGACAATGGCATCACAAAGATGTGCAGAAAGAATCTATACAGGAACACGACGAGCGCCAGGTGGCGGGGATATGCAAGACGACGATGAGGACGCAATTATGGAGTCATTTATCTCTGAGGACTTCATGGGCCACCCTGGGGTCAAGAATTGCAACTCTCAGGGAGCTATTGGTGTCATGGTGGTCAAGAAAAGCCGAACTGGATACTATCTCTACTTTGCACACAACACAGATTCCTTTGCTCTTGCATCAATGGGAGCGCTTGAAAAGGAGCCTCGTTGTACCATGTCTCGGCTTCCTGACGGTGCTAAGATTGCCAAGGGTGGTCGCAAAATACGAATTTCTTGATGCAAAGCTAGTGTTCTCACTGTGTACCTAGAACTGAGCCATTCCTCTAGTGCTTCGGGGATCGCCGTGGCAGAAGTGTCGTCGTATAGTCATCTGTGGTTTACGAAGCATGTTTAGCAATATCGATACCCCCTCCTATGAATTCTACTTCCTCAATATCAGATGGGCTTCTATTGGGACAGACGAGTGACTTCATCTCTGAAAAAGCACCATCAAGACTGAACATTTGAGCATGATATCATTATAGTGTAGTATACATTTTCCCCAACGCCGATCTGTGGTTTGCAGCTGTGCCCTGGGGTCGCAGCCAACTCTGCAGAAACTCCTGTTCCCATTGTGCTCTCTACAGTGCTCCTCCATGTGGTCGCGGACCCGAATATAGCCTCTAAAAGGTCAGCAAGATCCTTCCTTCACACGACGATGAGCCGAGTCGTAGCCGAGCCTCTGACTATATTATCGTAATTCATCTAAAGTGCACCACCCGCATTCGCCCATTGCCCAGCTTGTCGAAGCCAAGACGCTGATATCTATTCTCCGTCGATTTTACCGCAGAGGAGTACCAGTAGCGCTACCGGTCTCTTCTCGCCCACTGCCGCCATTCATGATCCTCTTTTTCTTTTTCTTTTTGCGGGGCACAACAGCCGGCTTAGCGCCGTAGTTACCCAGCGCCAACTTTGTTCCACAGGTCAAGCACTCCGCATTCTCGGGCAGTTCGCAGAATATGCTCAAGCAGATGGAGCATATGAAACCCCTGTCGACGACTTTTCCGTGACAAAAACAAGCAGCTCGGAAGTCTACCGTATCGTGTGTTGGGGTGATGAGCGACTGGCGAGCTTCCGTGTCCGCTATCAAGCCAAACATGAGGTAGGTGAGGAGGCCTTTGGGGTTTGCGGCGGCGAGAAAGATGCCGTTTGTGTTAAAACAGGCTTGCTGCAGGAATGTAGGGTTGCCTGAGAGGGAGAGCGTGTCAATGGCTACCTGGGCGTGGGCGGCGGCAAACACGGCGTTCATGGTTGGTATGTACTGAGTTGGCTCGGAATCAGACACGGACACGACCAAGATGCGGCCCTTCATTGGGGGCGCGGCGTTGGCACTTGGTTGGGCCACTTCTGCTAAGCTGCTGGATGCGCCGCTGAGTGCTTGAGAGGCTTTGTTGATGTGGCATAATGCCAGCGTCAAGGCACCGGATAGTTGGGTGGTAGTTGCCTCGAGATCTTGCTCCGTTGTTTCGCTCATCAACTTCTGCATCGATCCGAGGACGGCGGTCTCGATCTGCGCGAACTGCGGGTACTTGTTGGCCGAGTTTCGCGGGGACTCGCTGGAGACATCGTTCATATGAACATCGTCGGAGGTATCCTTGGGTGATGTTTGAGGAGGCGTTGGGTAGAGCCATACTGCGCGGTTCACGTGGGCGGCTACTATTGCGACCTGGTTGACATTGCTGAATGCTAGATGGGCATTGACGAAGACGAGGATGTTGGCGATGGCTTTTGATATGGAGAGGACATTGTCTAGTGCTGCCCAGGCGCGAGGATTAGTGTCTATGACGATGGAAAGGAGGGATGGTGTTTCTTCGGCGGTGGTGACCTCGTAGTGCTCTGAGACGTCGACGGCGTCCATGGTGGACGGGGAGAGGTGCCGTCGAAGGCAGCTACGAGGTCAATTCTCCGAGCTGGAATTATAGAGGGGGGGTTTCCTGGCAAGTCTAGTGAGGCGTCTTTTTAGTTATCGATATCGCGATGAAGAGTTGGGATGTAGGCGGGTGTGAAGCTCGGTCGAAGTGAACGGTTGTTGCAGCAGAGGGCCGGGACACAACCATATTAGAGATTCTATCTCATGTTTCAAGTTCGTACCCTTTGGATAGCTGCAAGCGATGGCAATAGGAATATTATAGACGGGCCTTGCATGTAATATTGCATCCCCGAGGTTGAAAGGTGGTCGGTGTATTCACAAATGTCAACGATGCAGGTCGTGTGCAGAGATCGGCAAAAACTACTTCGTCACAGTTGCTGACAGGACAAAGACCAAACTGACTGGTGGCTGGCCACCTAACAAGCAGGCGGCTTGGCTGAAGCCACTGGTGGCGTTACAGCACTTCCACGTGACTGTGGCTTGAGTCACAGTGGCTGTTGGTGCTGTACATAAGCGAAGGGGTCTAGGTACTAAGTACCTTGACTGTGGTATTTACTGGCAACTTGAGCTGGGGTATTAGTACTCCGTAGTGAAGTAATCAATTCATTGTTCTCCAGTGCTGGTCTGCTAAATTCTCACAACGATCAAGCTGCTGTACGGAGTACTCAGCACTTCGTAACTCAGGCTCGTCATTCGGCCGATAGCTGCAAGTAGTATCCTCAGGTACCCCAAGTGAGGGGCAGCCTGCCAGAGCTCCATCCAAGTTGAACCTGTCCATTCACCCATTCAATCTTCTCCCGACGCAGCTGGAGCAAAGCTCTCACGCCCCATCTCTTCATGACGAACCAGAGGACGCCTGACGCCATAAAGGGACCACAGTGGGCGGCCAACATGCCAAAGTGGAGAGAGCCTGAGCAAGACGGTGGTTTTTGGTCTTTGTTTTATGCCTATCACGATCCTTGAAGCTCGAGCTGGCTTTTATCTCAGAAGCTAGCGGGTAACTGCACGGGTTGCGGGAAGTGAGTGGGAACGAGATACAAGAAACAAGAAACACGCAGCTCGGAAACCTGGAAGCTTGAATCACGTTTTGACCCGACTCCAGGCACAAGTCTCGATCCTATTACATGTAGCTCCCAAGGGCATGAATCTTTTACTTGTCCCCCTCTTTCGTCCTCTCTAGCTGCCGCTCGCTTTCTTCCTCTACACTTCTTGTTTCATCCGAGTCGCATGAGTCCTTGGTTGTTGTACTTTGCCCGCCACATCCTCGCCCTACGTCACACTGCCGTCTTCGTCTTCACAAACTTGCCACGATGACGGAGACCCTCCAGGGCTCGGCACCGGCCGCAACTCTCGAAGACCAGACCCTATTAGTTTTTGCTCGTCTAATGGAAGGCGGCCAGGAGGATGAAGCGACATGCAGAGAATTGGACCAGCTGACAAAGTTATTAAACGACGACGCCGAGTCGCAGGAAAAAGACGACCAGTACAAGACCATATGCAACGTCATCGACGGCGATTGCGTCGACACCGTCTTGTGTTATCTCGATATGCGCCAGCCCGATATTGTGCGAGGCCATGCAACTCTCGTCACCTCTGCCTATCTCAAGGCCGCCGGAGATGACGGATCCAAGAAGTTGTCTGAATTCTTCTTTGAGCGTGTCAAGAGAGGTACTTATGACGACTACATTGTAGCATTCTGCGTCGCTTCAGCAACTTTCCCCATCGTCCCGGATTTGACCGCGCACTTGTTCTTGAGTGAAGGCTTTTTGAGTAGTCTCGGTCCTCTTATGAGGAGGGAGTGGAAGAGTCGTAAGGTTGAGACGGCCTGCTTGGAGATGCTCAACGCAGCATGCATGAATTCCATGTGCCGCGAAGCTGTTCAGAAGTATTGCGTCGAGTGGTTGGAGGAAGTAGTTGATCAGGATCCTACAGGTTCAACTGATGGTCCCAACGGTGAACCCAAGGTTCAGGGCGAAGGCGGTTCCATTTCCATGAGACGACACTCGGAGCAGGTTCAGCATTTGGCGGCTGTTATTTTGGCGAAGCTTAGAGTGAGTCTATGAACCCCGGTGCTGATTTTTTTCTTCTTCTTCTTTTCCATGCCCGACATCTGAGGGTCAAGATACCCTTTACTTCATGTTGGATCATGGGTGTTAACGTAAAACTAACATAGACTGAAGGCAGTTCCTTCTAAGCCATTGGTCAATGATCCCAACAGGCCCAGGATCGAGCCAGCAGTAACCAGTATCGAGGATTTGTCGGGCATCTTTACCAAAATGATACTACGAGATGGCGACCACGGCAAGCATTCCATAGAGGGTCTTGCTTACGCCTCTTTGCAACCAAAGGTCAAGGAAAGCATCATCGCCAACGAGGCTCTTCTCAAGAAGCTAGTCAAGACTCTTACAGAAGCGCAACCGCGGTCACCCACCACCTACGGCGCTCTCAGCATATTTGTCAATTTAACGCGGTACCGACCTGCGTTGTCAGAGGAACAGAAGAAGATGAGCCAATTGAAGGCCTATGCGGATGCCGCAGGGAAGCTTGCCGGGCCCGACCCCTTAGATGACGACGAACACGTCGCGAAACGCTGTCAGGCGGTTTTTAGTGTCGGCCTCATTCCTGTCCTTGTCACCCACAGCAAGAACGGCTCCCCTGCATCCTTGAGCCTCATCACTTCCATCATCAACTCCATCGCAGTTACAACATCTCTGCGGGGACCGCTCGCGCAACAAGGGGCGGTGAAACTGCTTCTTGTAGCGTGGGTTACCATCCCTGATACAGATGAAGTGTCCCGGCGGACAGCAGCCCAGGCACTCGCTCGAATTCTGATTAGCACCAACCCTGCTTTAGTATTTGGAGGAAACCGATCGAATCCAATCAACGCCGCCATCCGGCCCCTAGTTTCTATCCTGCCTCCTGACCCAGCTGCCGAGACCAGAGATCTGTTGCCTACCTTTGAAGCACTCATGGCATTGACGAATCTCGCCTCGTTGGATGAAGGCGATACGCGGAGTATCATCATCCGTATGGCATGGCCCCACGTTGAAGAGCAACTTGTATCGTCGAATAACCTCGTTGCCAAGGCTGCTGTCGAACTTGTCTGTAATTTAATGCAGGCACCCGAGGGAATGGCCCTCTACGCAGATGGAAGCCCACAGTCCCGAACCCGTCTACACATCCTGTTGGCCCTAGCTGATGCCGAGGACGGAGGAACTCGAAGCGCCGCGGGCGGAGCCCTGGCTTCTCTTACCGGATTCGAATCAGTCGTGCGATATGTTGTGCAACGGGAGAGAGGAGTCAAGGTCATTCTTGGCATGTGCAATGATCCTGACGAGGGATTGAGACACCGTGGTGTGGTGACTGTGCATAATTTGGTCACGGCCGAAGGGGAAGCAGGGCAACTGGCGAAGAACAAGGTCAAGGATGAGAATGGTGTCGAGGTACTGAAGCAGTGTTTGAAGCAGAGCCGGCGGCCGGAGGTGTTACAAATTACTGTGGAGGCGCTGAAGGTCCTGCTGGATCAAAAGTAAATGGTATTCGCTACAATGATGGAAAATTGGAGCACAGGGAAGGCTTTATCGTGCATATCTTTTGCGTTTCATATCATAACCCAACAATAGGCTGGTGTATCGCATGGAATATCCAAATGGAGCAATATTACGCGTTCGTCTATGGATCCTTCTCTGTGTCGCCATTTTCAGTAGCCGGCTGCTCACATCTATTCAAAATGGCAACGCCCTCCACATGTCCCGTCTGAGGAAAGAAATCAAATCCAACAAGGCTCTCAATATCATACCTGGCGCCGTCTCCTTCCCCTCTCACCAAAACACCAACATCTCGTGCCTGCGTGTGAACATTGCAGCTTACGTAAAGTATTCTCTTTGGCCCGAATGTTCGCAGCTGTCCCAAGAAATCGGCGTCGCAGCCCTTCCGAGGCGGATCCAACACCACCACAGTCTCGTCAGCGGGGTACGTGACGCTTTTGAAGAGTTCACCAGCATCAGCAGCGATGAACTTGCATCGATCCTCGCCAAGACCGTTGAGAGAAGCGTTGTTGCGGGCCGAGGCGATGGAATCAGCTGCAATGTCAATGCCCGTCGAGTGCTGAAATACAGAGGAGAGGGTGATGGTGAAGAGGCCGGAGCCAGAGTAGGCGTCGATGAGGTACCTGATGGGGCTGTTGGACGGAGGCGGGAGGATATGCTCGCGGACATAGGCGGTAAATTTGGGGAGGATGGAGTTGTTGTTTTGGAAGAATGACCCGGCGGGGTTTGTGAATGTGTGGCTGCCAATGAATTCGGTTGTGGTGGCCTTGGAGTCTGTCTCGCAGGTTTTGATGTCGATGAAATCGTCGCCTTCGGTGCGAGCAGTATAGGGAGACAGTGCGTCTTCCTTTGGTGGTTTATCTCCGTCTTGGGAGTCCTTGGGGTATCTGTGAGTGTTCTCGCGCAGCAGGATGGTTGCGCCGCGGTGATAGTTTTGGAACTCGCTCTGCATGCGCTCTCGTTCACGGGCCATGCCCAGTCGTACTGCCGAGGTGCCGATGGGGCAATCTTCAATATCGAGGACCCTGCGCTTGCCCTTTTGCATGAAGCCTATGTCCGGGCAGGATTCAAACGAGACCTTGGTAGCCTTTCTCTTGCTTGGTCTAAAGCCCGGAGGCCCATCAAAGTGCGGCGTCAGCTTGGTGCGGTAACCGTACTGCAGGGGACTCCCAATAGTATCCTGAATAGCTGGGACGAGTTCAGCGGGCAAATTCGAAAAGTTGCGGTAAGCCTTGTCCAGCACCCTCTTCTTTAGCTTGAGCTGTTCGGCGTAGTCCAGCATCTGGAACTGGCAGCCACCACACGAAGAGAAGTACTTGCATTGGATACGAGCATCGTCGCGCAAGGGTGAAGGTTTGACGATGGAAATGAAGTCTGCAACGGTTTGGTGCTCTCGGGGAATGTGACGAAAGACTTTGACTTTGGCAATATCTCCTGGTA